TGTGTGTGTGTGTGTGTGTGCGCGCGCATGTATGCATGCATGCTTGATCTCACAGACACCTCGGCTCTCGCTTTGTTTGCACAAAACAGAAAAAAAACTCGTCAGTTTATTAACGTTAGTGTTTAAGAGCCTGCATAATGGCAGCTTCCGCTGTATTCTTCTCAGGAAGTTGAGATTGTTTGGAAGTGCTATCTTTACGTCTGCTGGGGTAATAATATATTTATGTGTGTCTCGACGAGGTGGAATCAGGCTCTCGTCAATGTTAGGGCATGTGAAGTAGAGGTGGGCAAAATCCGGATAATCCATAAGGATAACCGGATAATTCTCAATGAAACATTATCCGAATTCAGACTCTTAACTCTCTTTCCGAACCCGTTTGCCGAAGTGGGTGCACCCATTTGTTGAAGTGATGCTAACCCGTTTGTCGAAGTGGTTCTAACCCATTTGCCGAAGCGGTTCATATCATATTATTAGCCGAAGAGGTTCACTAAAATATTATCCGGATTTTGCTGAAGCGACTCATTGCCCAGCTCTAATGTGAAGATATCAGTATCGCCTTAAAGCTTTTTCATTTACCTTGCTTTCGATGAACGAAATATCCATTTATCTTGAACTCATGTCGAGATGTTTGCGATTGAAGGAGGTAGGGAGGGGTAGCTTGGTTTCAGAGGTAAAATTATTGAGAAAATGACCGGCAAAGTTTGGTTATTTACAGAGTCTGAGAGTCCATTGAAACTGACATTTTATTTTTTCGTGCCTTTAATCAAGGGTTTTAAGTTAAAATCTGCACAGAAGTGGGTTTTCAAATGGACATAAGAGATGTTGAGCCAAAAAAGAAAAAAATGAAAAAATGTCCAAACTGTCTTTAAAAAAAGGGACGATTTCTCGGATTTCATTACTTTTGACTAGCGCCTGATTTTACCCCGCTGTCTCACATAGACTGTAAAGCGCTTAATCCTTGCTGTTGAGACGGGGAGGAATTGCGCTATATCAATGCCATGTATTATTGTTGGCCTGTAACGTCTGCAGTTAGTTCTTGTTTTTGTTTTGATTTGAGGATGGGCAAAGTCCTACGAAAGAGCTCCCGTCGCTAATATGTGGTTGTTGTTGTTGTTGAGATTCCTGGGCCTTCCTAACTACAGGCGCCTTTGTCTGTTCACAAAATTGTCTGTGTAGTGTGCAGTGTTATTAAGTTAGTGTAATATGTTTTTCAGTAAGAGTTTTACGGCACTTGCAACACAATAAGTCATATAAGCGTCAGAAGATTAGAGGTGTTACAAGAGAGTAACAAACATAAAAAAGAAGAAGGGGAGATAAGGACGATAGATATTTGATAGGAAAGAAGGAGCAAACCACACCAGAGCACCCGCCAACCACCCACCGTAATATGTTTGTACAGTATTATTATGTTTGTGCAATATATTTGCGTAATATGTCTGTGTATTATGCTCGTGTAATATGTTTCTGCAATATGTTTGTGCAATATAATGTTTGTGTAATGTGTCTGTGTATTATGCTCGTGTAATATGGTTGTGGGGTAATACGTCCCATTCGACGTGCTCGAGATGTCTAGGCTGATTAGGTCCTATGAGGACCTTTATATCACCGATGTCTGACTCTTTAGCGTTTTAGTTGCAGTAAGAGTTTTACAGCAACTTGCAACACAAATAGGTCGTACAAGCTAGTGTCGACACGAAGGTCAGAGTGTCATTAGAGAAGTGACACTTACATAA